TACTTGTGCCAATGGTAACACACTGTACATACTTGTGCAATGGTAAAACACTGTACATGCTTGTGCCCATGGTAACACACTGTACATGCTTGTGCCCATGGTAACACACTGTACATGCTTGTGCCCATGGTAACACACTGTACATGCTTGTGCCCATGGTAACACACTGTACATACTTGTGCCAATGGTAACACACTGTACAAATGTACATACTTGTGCCAATGGTAAAACACCGTACATGCTTGTGCCCATGGAAACACACTGTACATACTTGTGCCAATGGTAACACACTGTACATACTTGTGCCAATGGTAACACACTGTACATGCTTGTGCCAATGGTAACACACTGTACATGCTTGTGCCCACGGTAACACACTGTACATGCTTGTGACCATGTAACACACTGTACATACTTGTGCCAATGGTAAAACACTGTACATGCTTGAGCCCATGGTAACACACTATACATACTTGTGCCCATGGTAACACACTGTACATACTTGTGTCAATGGTAAAACACTGTACATGTTTGTGCCCGTGGTAACACACTGTACATACTTGTGCCACAGTGTTCTCCCCAGAAATTTTTCATCGAGTCGTGGCTAATTTGCATAATAATCAGCATATAATTAGCATAAATTAACATATTGTTTGTCATATGGGGAAATAAAACAAAACCAGTTTTTTTCCTTTTTTTCTATTTATTTTATGTACAATCTGTATACAATTATTGCACTGCATGTTTAGTATTGCAAATGTCCTGCTGAAATACTGAGCTTTCTGTTTCTTTGCTTGGCCCAAATCAAACTTTATAAAACCCTGTTCAGTCCCGGTAAATTAAACATGGGGTTGATTATTCTCATTGCTTGTCTTCCGTTTCTGTTGTTTTCCGGTTAAGTACAACAACTGTTACGAGTCACAATACTTACGCTACTATGTTCGAGCAATAATAGTTTTTTTCTCTCTGAAATTGTTGATTTTGAAAGAATTTTACCTTTCAATCTAAAGACTGACACAGTCGGAGACACTATCGCAGAAAGTATTTACTTACAAACAAAGAGGTGCTAATTTCACAAAATTGACTCGCCGCTACGTATCGTGCGACTAGGTCTATTGTTTACAAATTATAATCGACGACTGGCAGGATGCGTGTCGGTCGGTACATAATTATAATAACAATCGGACAATAGTCCTGGTCGGAAGCATTTCCGTGGTGGTCGCTAATTTTGAGTGCATGGCGAGATCCCTGTGTACATACTTGTGACCATGGTTATACACTGTACATACTTGTGACCATGGTTATACACTGTACATACTTGTGACCATGGTAAAACACTGTGTATATACCTGTGCCCATGGTAACATACATGGAAAGGGTTTTTAAGAATCATGTTTACTGTATTTGCTTTTTAAAATGGTGATGAGTATTCATGAACAGAAACATTACTCCAGGCAAGTCAATCTAATCTCACAGACAATCGGTAATGACACAGTTGTGTTGGCTACATACACAGCGATTCACCAGGCTATTCTTCGGTGTACTCTGAATAGCTGATATCCAGACTAGATCCAGTCTGGCTCTAAGAAGCTCCCCGACTTTTAGCTGCATTCATACAATTGTATTCAGGGACAGTTGGATTTCATAATGAACTTACTTAAATTCATCATATGTCTCTACTCTCTGTGATACAGCTCTCAGTTTAGCGTCATTTTCTCTCCAATACTTGGCATCAGCCTCCACAGCATGTAACAGTTCCTTCTCTAGTTTACGAAAATCAATCTTTTCTTCATCTTTTCCAGAAACCATTGTGATCTGAAAATTATTATCAAGTTGTAGAATTGATCACCAAAGCTAACATGTTTTGTTCCAAATCAATAAACTCAGTGCATAAGTTTGTCTGCTGGACAACAGAACAAAAGAATTGTCATTGTCAAACCCCTACTGTTGACCAAACCCTGTGT